GTTTTAATGTCCGTCACTGGAGAAAACACACAGCAAGCAATCTAAGGAAAACCAAAAGAAACAAAAAGTTATTAAAAGAAAGAAAGACAGATAGAATTATAAAAAAATAATTTATCACAATTATTTCCTGTGTAGTAAACACATATCTGAAGAAAATTGTCTTATTTTACTATAAAATTGGTTGTAATATTCTAAAGCATAATTTTTCCATACAATGGGCATAAACTTAGTTCTGAATAAACTGTCCTGATAAAAGATTTTGAGGCAAGAAATAATACTTTTTGGAAAACCACCATCAAAGGCGGTAATTTGAGTCTATGATTATTTGCAAATGGGAACATCTCACATCATTTTACATTTGTTGAAACAAAATAATTGCCCTTTTTCATGACTGAACTAAAGTTATATTCTCCTGTAATCCCTGTAATCTCCTCCTTCTTCCAGAAAGGAATGCAAAACAAGAAAAGAATGGGAATCTTTTCCAAAATCCACATGAGGATGTAATTTTATTAAAATAGTTTAAGATTACATAATGTTGTAAGCATTACAAGGATTAAGAATTCTTGAAAGCTAAATTGTTGTTAAAAACTTTAGAAGTAAAATGGGTGAGAAGTAAATTTAACTGATCATATCTGCATCTAATAATCTTTGGTGGAATGTGAAGCTAGAGGGGAGATCTAAAATTGACTTCCATAAAACTATCCCTAAATTACATTCCTGGTTTATTTAAACTCTCAATGTGATTATTCCATAAAGATTTACCAAAGAAGACTAGTAGTCCCCCACCCCCTTTTCTCATTATTTTTGCCCCAAAAGAGGTATATTTAATCATAGTGCCTTTATTTAATTCACACAGACATTTGTTTTCAGTTTGTATTACCTGAAGAAGCAGCATTGCATTGTAAACTTCATGGCCCACCTGAACATACCTGTGGAATCTTATAGATACCTAAAACAGTAGCCATATGAAGAGAGACTTTGGCATCAAGTCCTCCAATGACAGCTATCAAATTAGTTTCCTTCTTGCAGTTGTAATTTGGAATAGTCTTCCTCTGGGCAGACAGAAGTTTCAGGGTGTTCTGATAAGACATCTTTGCATTATTGTAGCTGTCATAAATGTGAAACCCTATGCTGATATTTGGCAATATTTTGGGATTCTCATTGATCTGTTTCACAGCAAATATTAATGAAAGGACATGCTGGTAATTCTTTAATATTGCCCTAAGAAAAAATGTATATAACATATGAAATAACTACCACATTATTTTGTATGCATATTACTGCATCTATAAGCAAATTTAAATGTTTGAAAAGTCCCAAATAGGCTTATATAGAAATAAATTTTCATAGATATATTTTGAGTACTGTCTGACAAATAATAACATTTTTGTGACTCAATTTTAAGCTATAAATTTTTCCAAGCCATGTTGAATAAAAAAAAATGCTGCTCTAAATTTAAGCTTGATTTAGTTTTCAAGGACACAAATATAGCTTTCTTTCAAGCATTATTGAACTAACCTGTCTCTACCATCAGTGATTTTTCTCTACTTACAGTCTAATCAACAATCCAATCTAGAAATCCTATAGATTCCTCTCCTAATAATAAGCAAGCCTGAAAACTCTTAGTCATTACAACCAATTAAGGGTAGATAAGTGGTTAAATATTAACTGTAAAACCAAAAGGTAAAGTTAAGTTATTTCGCATATAGATGTTTTATTCAATAGCAATGAAAACTATGGATTATAGATTATCTGAAAGTGCAAAGAAAAGTTTTAAAATCCAACCAATAATAGAATGTGATTGGACTATTGCAACTACAAAAACAACCTGTATCTAGGTCTTTATTTTTTAAAAATAATAGAATTAAGAGGCAAAAATATATTTCTATTGCTACAGTGATCAAAACTTTCAACAGAAGTAATGTCTTGCTGAGTTTTTCCTTGAAGAATAGAAGAAGTGTAGATAAGATTTCTCTTCTCTTCTCTTCTCTTCTCTTCTCTTCTCTTCTCTTCTCTTCTCTTCTCTTCTCCTCTCCTCTCCTCTCCTCTCCTCTCCTCTCCTCCCTTCCCTTCCCTTCCCTTCCCTTCTCTTTTCTTCTCTTTTCTCCCATCTCCCTATCCTCTCTTTCTCACTGTCTGCTTCTAGCTATGTCACACTGGAAACAGATTCAAAAGTAGGATGTATCCAATATTCAATTTTTTTCTGAGATAGTAGGCTGGTTCCTCACGGAAAGGGAAAAGTTGTACCTTTTGAATTTTGTTCTCCCCCACCCCCAAAAAGTGATATAATTCTTCCTTATTAAAATGAATGAGTTTAAAGTGTCTTAAGTGAGGCAGTGTTATATTATTATGCATTGAAACTCGTATCTGTGGAATATCAGTGGAAAGGGTGTAATCTATGTAACGCCAATAGAACAGGTAAAAATGTAGATATTTGTACAGTCACAGGTACCTTTAAACAAATTAGCTTGATCCTAACAAATTATAAAAAAAATCAATATAAATTGAAATACATATAAATTTGAACAATAAAATATGATACTGTAATCTGTTTAAAAAAGGAAAGTGAATTAAAAGACTCAGAAAAACAAACATAGAAACACTAGAAGATGAAATCTGAAAGAAGTAGTAATAAACACAGATACTACCTTGAAGGAAGTTGTAAGATAAGAACTATAAATGATAGAAAAAAGCAAAACTTGACATGATATAGAAATAGAATGTAGAACCAAGTGAATTAAAATTTATTTCTGTAACACTAACAACAAACATTTCAAAAATAATTTTTTCAAACTTTTTTTAATGAATTAGATCATACTCAGAATACTTCCTACTTCCAGTCACTGCCAGCTCCAGATGAAATTTCCTTACATGAGTTCTTCTACCACCTTTGTTTTGGGATGTTCCTCAAAGTTGCTTATTTCCAGCAGGCAATCATATTGTGCAGCAATCCCTCCGATTATTATATCCCCTGGTTTGGAAAACTCATATGGGAACTGGAAGGGATCACTCATAGAACAGATGTTCTGTGCATTGAAATTGGTTAGGACCAGGTGGGGCAGTTGCCAAAGGAAAAGCTGCAGCAAAAATACAGGCATGCATTGGTTTAAGACACTGTCCATTACTGCCTATTTTTTGTGTCTATCTGTTTTGCCAATATTCAGTCTACATCACACTGTAAATTTTAAAAGGATAATAAAATCATATTTCAATCAATCTGCAATTTTAATAAAATTGGGGGGGGGGGTTGGATCTCTCCTTAAATATATGCAGCTACCCTGCACGTTTTAGATTTATTTTTCCCCAAATGCATATTTTCTCTTCATTCTTTCTTTTTAAAATTTGCAGTACATTTTAAGTGCAGAAGTGCAACATATAAATCAGAATGTATGATCCAAATAAGCAGCTTATTCTCGATATATTGGGCTGAGAAAGGCAATTTAGATTAATTAATTACAAAATGTTTGATCCAAACAAATTCTGAAGGTCATCAGATATAACAGTACTGAATTCTTCTGATAAATGAAATATCAGACTGATTGGACCCTGCCTATCTTTGGAGTTTATTTTTCAGTTTCAAATGCACCACAATATTTTATATTAACTTTCATATGTTGTTACTGAAGGAGTTCACTGGCTTGAGAAAATGCATCTGAGTTTGGCAGAAGAAGAATAAACTATAATAATCTAAAATAATTACAATGTTCAAAGACTTGTCCATGGGGAATGGTGTAATCCTTTATATTTTACTATGGACAACTTTATGGGAAACAAAACAAAATAAAATAAAACAAAACTGAATATTTATATTTCATACTAGCTGTACCCGGCCACGCGTTGCTGTGGCCCAGTCTGGTGCTTCCGCTGGGATAAAAGAGCGAGGCTGAAGTTCCAAACTCTCCATGAACATTTGGTGGGTGTAGCCAACTCAATGTCACTCACTTTCATCAGTCACATGACAGCCCCCGAGCCACGCCTACCCAGCTGGTGATTAGGGCAGAGAACCGGTTGCTAAAAAACAATGGGAACCACAAAATCCTCCCTCTCTGTCTCCCCCTCTCTCTTTGTATCTCTCTATGTCTCTCTCTCTCCCCCGTCTGTATCTCTCTATGTGTCTCTCTCCACCTCCTCTCTCTGTATCTGTCTCTCTCTCTCCCCCTGTATCTCTCTCTGTCTCTCTCTCCCCCCTCTGTATTCTCTGTGTCTCTCTCTCCCCCTCTCTCTGTATCTCTATGTCTCTCTCTCTCCCCCCTCTCTGTATCTCTCTCTGTCTCTCTGTCTCCCACCCTCTCTCTCTGTATCTCTATATGTGTCTCTCTCCCCCCCTTCTCTCTGTATTTCTCTATGTTTCTCTCTCCCTCTCTCTCTGTTTATCTCTGTCTCTGGGCTGGCCTCTTCTGCATCCCCCGCCATCGCCCTTACCTTTTCAGGCCAGGCCTTCGCAGCTGTCTGCACTACAGCAGAAACTCAGGGGCCCCCTCCATCCTCTCTACACCGATGTTCTCTGGGGGCTAGATGGGGAGACTCATAGCAAGGAAGGAAGGGAGGGAGGGGGTATGGTGGGGGTTCGAGGCTGGTTTGGGGCTTCCCGGACAAAGGAAGAAAGCAGCAAAGCCAGGAACCACGCACACCCCACTGGACCCCTGCTGCACAGTTCTCCTCCCCTGCCTGCCAAGGGCAGGGGAATGATTAAATCCCCTGCTCTTCCAGGTGAAACGAAGGAGGGCCGGCCATCCTCCGTCCTGGCCGTTTCTGCCCCCCCAAGCCTCCCCAGAGCCCCTTTTCTGCCAGAGGCCTAAATTTTCGTGTAGACTCCGTGAACTGCCAGAGCACCCACCTGGGAATCAAAGGCAGCACTGGTCAAAGGTGAGCCCAAGGCTCCAGTTGCCTCCATCTCCTGCTCACCAACCGGATTTGCATAGCGCCAGTTAACGGCTGGTCTTTCTGACCTCAGGGCCTGTGGTAGCGCTGGGCCAAGCACAATTCAGGCCAGGCGAGGGATGGAGTGTTCCCGCTCAGTGGACCCAGGCAGCCTCGTTGCCAGGTATTCTTTGGAAGGAGCCCCAAGAGCGGCTGGCGAGGGGGATGGGCAGCAGCAGCAGGTGAGGTTAGTTCACGGGGTGGCCGGGGGAGGGGAAGGTCAGAGCCAGGCTCTGGCAGGCCCCACCCAGACCAGCCCTGGAAGCGCCAGCTGCGAGGGCTTCCCAGAGGGGAGCCAGCTGCCTACCTGCCAAACCTGGTGGCAGGATATGGCCCTCGGGCATCTCTGCCTTCCAAATGCGCAGTTTTTTGGAAGCAATATGGAGAGTCTAAATATAAGGAACAGAAATCTGTTGAGCGTAATCAGGGCTGGGAGGCTGCCATGTTGGTTTTACGTCCAGCAAATGGCACTGTTTTTCAATGTTTGTCAATTTCTTTCAATGTTTTCCAATGTTTTTCATGTTTTTACCTGTCACAGGTGTGACATGTATATAATATAGGTATATAAAAACATGCCCGTAGTCGAATGCAATGTTGTGTCAAAATTTGAAAGCAATTGGTGAATAACTTTCGGAGATGTGCAGTTATATACCAACGGACATTTACATTTTTATTTATATAGATTATTTTAAAAAGTGAAGGAACATTGAACACTGAATTTTTATAATTTATGTGAAAAAAGTACAAAATTCTTCAGATAAATATAGGAGAATATTTATAACTCAGGGTTGAAATTAGGGGTCCTTGGTAGTCTGTATGCTTGATAATTTTCCGGCAGATATTTCATTACCCAAACTAGATAACATCCTTAGGGCTGTAGGGAATTGGGTTTGCTCCTATTTTATATTCTAGTATCTCTATTCTTTCTGATTTTGACCTATATGAAAATATATGTAGCTTCTCTTTTTCCATAAAATTTATGATATTACAAAATGATATGCATCCTGTCCTACCTAAAAAAAATTAAACAATTTATATTTGTTTATATAGCATGCTGTTTTTTAGCACCAGGAATGAACATTAGAAGCCATTTTATTTCCTTTTACCAAATGTTGCCTAATGAAGGATTTCAATTTTTAGGGTTTGTCCAGCTTCTTCAACATTTTCAGTAGACATAGATTGGGATAATTACAGCCAGCAATGACAAAGAAGAAAACTGTGCAGAGATTAATACCATTGCTTTATAAGACATGACATCCATACTGTCAACATTATAAAAGCACCATTCCTGTCTGATGATTTAGAGAAATTCCAGTCTTTAGAACTCTTAATAAGCATGGCTTTTTCATTAGCCAATTGTAATATCAAAGTTTTTGTTGTGAATACTGGTTCTCAGAAAGTAAAATGGTTGCTATATTATGGAATTCTCCAAGGCTTGATAAATGCATCCATCAGTAAGATATGGATTATAACAGCCAACTCTAATTTCTTATCCCAGACAGTACATAAAGATTTGGATAACCACATCTTCCACTGAATGTTATAATTCATAATCAATAAAAATAATCTGCTGGGTTTTCACTATTTTCTTCAAAATCCATATTTGTACTAATTGAGAAAGGAGACTGATTCATCAGGATCTTCTGGAATAAGCATTTGAAACCATAGTTTTGCTTTTGCTATTTGGTTGCCTGTCTTCCAGTTCAAACAGATATGAGAGCACAGACTTATGCACTGACCATAAGGAACTCGAGACTTTCCCTTTTTAATATGAGCATGACGGGCCAAAGCTATAGCAGTCATAATGCAGTCTATATCATAGTGCATGCTTTACATAAAACTCTTTCATTGAAATCAACATCAAAATTGATAAGGGTAGAGGTAGACTGGATCACCAAGATGTGCATCCATGGAAGGTAGCATTTAAATATGATTTTGTGATGGCTGTGTTAGTGCAAGATAATTCTTGTTTCAGACAATTAATAATTAATTACGACAACTCTAAAATGCTAATCTTTTCTAACAAAAAACAAAAGTACAAATGGACAGTTGATTCCCATGAACTGGAACAGATTTAATGCTTTAAATCTGGGCTGTCAAACTCACAGCCTATGGGCTAGATGCGTCACACACTGGTCATCCATGCCTAGTTTAGCAAAGGGGGGAAAAGTCATGATACGCCACAGGTCATGCTGCCGTGATGACCTGCTTTAAATATTTGGGCATAGTATTTCATTAAAGATTAACAGTAAACTACAGGTAGTCCTCAATTTATGGCCACAACTGAGCCAAAATTTATGCTGTAAGTGAAAAATTTGTTAAATGAGTTTTGCCCTATTTGTTGTGGTCCGCCAGCACCCTGCAGACCTGGCAGTGGAGTCGGACAGTGAGGAGGCTGGAGAGGAAAGTCACCCAGTCCTGGAGTCAGGGGAAGGCCCAGATGAGGGCTCTGCGTTGGACGCAGAGATGGGGCCAAGGCCATCTGGGAGTAATGCACAGAGTACAGAGCTTCTAAAGGTAGACAGCAGAGAGGCAAATGATCAGGAGGAGCCTGTTCCTTATGTACGCATGCAAAGAGCTGCCAGAAGGCAAGAGCAGCTAAAGAAAAAAGGACAACTCAGGAGTAAGGCCAGAAGATGAGGCTTAAAAGAGCAGCAACGAGCTGCTGGGTTCTTTATAGTTGAGTTCTGTAGTGTTGATTTCTGTGCTTCTTGTCAGCATCTCCTGAACTTTGTGGGGGTTTTGCCAAGAAAAGCCTTTGGCAGTTTGCCAAAGACATCAAAGGTTGGTGATAAGACCAACGTGCTGATTATTAAGAATTTTGTTTTGGGCTAAGATGAAAATGATTTAATTCTCAGCTGTTTTAATAAAATAAGTTTGTTGAGGACTGAATTGTGTTTGGTAATCACTACCTGGGCCTTGGTCACAACACTATTTTATTACCTTTCTTGCCATATTTGTTAAGTGAATCACCTAAGTTGTTAAGTTAGTCACATGGTTGTTAAATGAATTTGGCTTCCCTGTTGACTTTGCTTGTCAGAAGATCACAAAAGGAGATGACACGATCCAGGAATACTGTAACTGTCATAAATATGCATCAGTTGCCAAGCGTCTGAATTTTGACCACATAGCTATGGGGATGCTGGAACAGTCATAAGTGTGAAAAATAGCAATAAATCATTTTTTTCCAGTGCCATTGTAAATTCAAACTGTTCACTAAATGAACTGCTGTAAGTCGAGGACTACCTATATGTCTTTTCTACTGCCCAAAGAGCACACAAACAATAATTAAATTTCATAAGCAACAATATGTCCCATGTGTTATTATTTACAGCAGAAATAGTTGCCCAAATATTATATGGCATACAACTCAGGCCATAGCATAAATATCAAGTAAATGAAAAGGGGGGAAAGATAATAAATGTACAGATCACAGTTGGTTGTTTTCTTACAGACGTTTCATTATCCAAGCTAGGTAGTCTAAACTAGCAGTGATGATTTTCCCTAATTTGGGTAATAAAAGAAAGCAACCAAGCTCAGAGAGCAGAAAGGACCCCACATTTCAACCCTGAGCTACAAATATTCTCCTTTAATATACTATGGTAGAAGGAAAGCACAATTTCTTTAAGGCTCTGAAAGAGGGTTGGGAACCCAAACTTGACTGGAAAACATTACTACAACTCCTATGTTTATCCCACCTGATTTAATTATTAAGTTATTTTAGGTATGTTCAGGTACGATAAGAAAGCGACCATTGTAGTGACCTGTCCTACTTATTATACAGACCATTTTCTGCAAGAATCCAATTCATCCTGACATAAGCATAGAAATGTTCTTATTTCTACCTAGATCCTATTGTTTACGCTTGCCACGGATGTCTCAAGTTAGAGAGAAATTGAACAACTATGTTTATTTTTCCCCTGTGTAACACAGAGTAGCTTACACTATAATCTAGTAATTATCCCCATCTTGGCAAACCATATGATACTTTCCTGAAGTCACACACATACAACATTAGCACTTTGTGGAAGCTTATATTAACTACTGTATCTCTGGGTGGTTCCAATTTGAACTGAGTGACTATTGAAGCGTGTCCACCTCTAAAAATTTACCATTTTGAAAAGTATCTGAAGCCACTCAAGACAATGTGGTATAGCCAGGCTAATGATGGATGGCACTATTGATGTATGAAATCTGAACTACTTTTTGATGGAATGGCAAAAATATTTCTGTTGCTCCTGCTCATACTGTGGTTGCAGCAGCATTCAGCTGAATGCAAAACTCTCAGTACTATATGTATGATTATTGAGCCCATCCAGATATTGAATGAATATTGTCAGACAGGGGACTTAATCATAGGAGCAATTACAACTCAGTACAACTGTGTATTTGACATGCCATTTTTCAATGAAAGTTTCAGAATGAAGCCTTTATGTGACCTTGTGTACGGATACTTTTTTCTTTTTTAAAATTCAAAACACAAATAGACAAAAATGGAATATTTTTGTAACTTGCAATGGAATTTTTGGCAATCAGTCTTGTTCTATATTATGATCTGGGTCAATGAATTTTAAGTTTGGTATGACCTAAGCTGAGGTCTGCTCCAAAATTTAGATCCAACTCATTGTTTGTGTTAATTTTGACACCATATAGCTTTCCCTTTCTATCCCTTTCTTTCTTTCTTTCTTTCTTTCTTTCTTTCTTTCTTTCTTTCTTATCTTATCCTGTTAATCAATCTCATTTTTAACCTTGAGTTTCAAGTTTCCTGCTATTGCCATGGCTCTTGACTTCTAGAAATGATTCTGCATTTTGTTATTGTTGTTCAGTTTCTCATAGCTTTATATTTTATACTTTTTTATCCTTCATCATATCCAGCGTTCCTTTTTATTCTTTATCTTCATTACCCTGTGGATTTATCCAGTGGTGGGATTCAGCCAGTTTGCAGTACTTCAGGAGAACCGGTTGTTAACTTTCTGAGCAGCTTGGTGAACTGATTGTTGGAAGAAATCATTAGGGCAGAGAACCAGTTGTTAAATTATTTGAATCCCACCACTAGATTTATCTGCAAAGCTTGGCTGAAATTCTCAGGTGATTTTATTGAAATGAAAAGAGAGGGATTTTTTGACATCTGAAAATTTAACACATTTCATATTTCAAAATGTATATGAATCTTTGTGAACATACTGAGTCATTTATGTTATGTTTTTCAGGAAATTAATTAACAACCTAAAAAGCAAATTGTACTATTTGGGGGGGAGGAGAATATACAAATATATTTACAATCTTTACAGATTTACACATTAGAGAAAATGAGTTGTAGACCATGGATAATGTGAATTACTAATTATACACAATAAACATATATTAGAAAATAAAGAGATTTGCAGTTTCTCTATATTCAGGATTTTTTTAAAAATTAAGTCTTTTTTGTCAGGAGAGGAGGGGGAGGAGGGGAGAGGGAAGTGGAGGGGAGAGGGGAGGGGAGGGGAGGAGAGGCATATAAATTTACCTTTTTGTAAATAAGGAAGAACTTATGAATAACTTATCTATATAAGTGTCCCTCTACTTCTTGCTAAAGTTCAGATGTCAATCTTTCCTTATCCATATGGACTAGGACTGGTTTTCTATATATAAACTGACATAAAACCAACCAAATGGTTCCATAAGAAATGACAGTATTTTTTTTCATAATGTAACTCTGCTTTAGTGTGAAACTGAAGAATTACCAGCATGTCCTGACCATGGCATTTGCAGTGAAGGAGATCAATGAGAATTCCCAAACCTTACCAAACCTTACCCTGGGATTCCACATCTATGACAGTTATTCCAGTGCAAGGATGACTTATTACAATACTTTGAAGCTTCTTTCCACTTGGAAAAGGACCATTCCTAATTATAGCTGTCACAAGACAAAAAAATTGATAGCCCTGGTTGGGGGGCTAGACTCTTCCACCTCCTTCTACATGGCTACGCTTACAGGTCTCTATAAATTTCCTCAGGTAATATAATGACTGCTTCACAAAACTTTTCCATATTTTATCTTTTTATTTGTAAAAGACAATTTTCAGATCAACAGCTGCATTTGATCATTGGGTGATGCACTCTACTTCTTAGTAAAGCCAAGATAAAACTAAAATTTGCATTTATATAATTTACATTTTAATCAAATATGTTAAATACAATTTATTGTGTTTAATATGTTAAACACAGTAATTGTGTTATATGTTTAAAGAATGTTCCAATCTGTCACAATAAACATGACATTTTCCTACCAGGTCTTGATGACTACATGCAGCCTTGCATCCTCTAGTTGTTACTATTCTCCCAAATGATACTGCGTCAATATTTTCATAGGAAAAATGTATGTCTGGTCTCAAAAAAAGATGTCTTCTGTGAAATGTCATTAAATATGAATGGATTTAAGATCTTTGATCATTGTACCATATGATATATTTTCGCCACAGAGGAAAGATTTGGTAACTCATGAGAATATTTTTTTAAAAGACTTTGAGAAATTGATATACTGTATCTTTGAAATATTGTGAATGTCTCCACTCAAAGAAGATGAAGGATTTTCAAAGAGTTTATTCCAAATGATTTATTCTGTGGAATGGCTAATCATGTTAAATACAATTATTGTGATGATATCCTTATATCTTTAAAGAATGTTCAAATCAGTCACAATAAACATGTATGCCTGGTCTCAAAAACAGATGTCTTATTCTAAATAATTTATTCAGTGGAGTGGCTAAACATGTTAGAATAATCACCAAAAAGGAAATAAAGTCATGACAAGTATTTGAGAAAATTCATGTTTGCTTTTTTCTCTTGGCAGATTGCCTATTCTGTATTTGCTCCAATGATGAATGCTAGCAAATTTCTCCCTTTCTTGTATAGAATGATGCCAAGTGATATAGTTCAGTATTCAGGCATTGTACAACTTCTTTTGCATTTCCAGTGGACTTGGGTTGGGATCATTGCAACAGATGATGATGATGGAGAAAATTTTGTACAGACCTTAACTCCACTGCTCTCTCAGCATGGCATCTGCCCAGCCATCATTGCAAATATACCAACATTATCTCATTATTTAAACTACTATGACTTATTGATGCACACCTCACCTGAATCCATGTTATTAATCTCATCTGAAGTTAATGTGTTTGTGCTACATGCAAACCATAGAACTATAACATGTATTAAATGGTTGATGTATATGTATGAGCTCCTGGAAGAATATGATACTAAATCAGTAAATAAAATCTGGATTATGACAGCCCATTGGGATTTCTCAACAGACCTATTGCAGAAAAGTTTTGATATGATGTTCTTCCATGGTGCCTTATCTTTTGCAATTCACTCCAATGAACTGCTGGGGTTCACCCATTTTCTGCAGGAATTAGATCCTCATTCAGATAACAATGATCGATTTATCCAGATTTTCTGGCAACAGGCATTTGGCTGTTCAATTTCTAGTCATAATGAAAAAGAATGCACCTGGCAAGAGAAGCTGAGCAATTTGCCAGGAGTTGTTTTTGAAATGAGCATGACTTCCCAGAGTTACAGAATTTACAATGCTATTTATGTCTTAGCATATGCTTTGCATGACATCTACAAACCCAGTCCACAAACAAGAGCTATATTTAATAGACATCATCTGGATCAGAAACCTTGGCAGGTAATGTATTTTTGTTCTTTCAGTTTTGATATAATGGACGAAAAGTAGTATAAAGCATTGATAGTTTTATAGGTGGGGTATTTTGGCTGATTTTTTTTTTGCATCTCCAATATTTGTTTCAGAGTTGCATGACATATTTTAGTATATTCATTACCAAAAGCACATGCTAATATATTTTCATACTAAGACATCAATTTCTATTTGCAATCTCTGTTTATTTCTATTGAATAGGTTGCTGAATATATCTCTCCTGCATCCCTTTATTTAATATTTGAAAAAAGAAACAACATAATAAAATATCCCTTTTCCTTTTAAAAAATGGATTCCTGATCTGATCCCAGTAGACTATCCTGTTAGATGAAGAGATAAGGCTACTCCAAGTTATTTATATTCAGAAGGCATGATCAAAGAATTTTGATGATAAATAATTTGATTTTCAGTTTAGCCGGTATCTGTGCAGGAGCCTATTATCTTCAGACTACAATAATAGATGCCTGTATAAAATTAATATTCAATTTCTTGACTGATTACATAATAAGTCTGAAAATCTAAACTTGTATGAATGAATCCCTAAACTGAGATAAAAACAAGAATAATGTAGTGGAAACAGTGATTAAAGAAATGTGCCTTTATCTCAATAGATTAACCCCTTCCTGAGGAGCATCACTTTTAATAATAGTGCTGGGGATATTGTGTCTTTCAATGAAAATGGTGAATTAACAGCTGGATATGATATTCTAAACTGGGTTGTTTTTCCAAACCAAACCTTTGTAAGAGTGAGAGTAGGAAAGATGGATCCACAGGACAAAGAACTCATCATTAAAACAGATAACATCACATGGCGTAATTCATTTAACCAGGTAAGATGCCGTTTGACTTCAGAAATGTCAAATTAGCTGAGAAATTCTCTTAAAATGGTCTTTGACAATTTTGCCATGTCTTGTTTGAATAATTTCAGTTAATACCATCTCACTGGTAATTATTTATCACTGTAACTAACATTCTCAATCTCATTACTTCACCAACTCTAAAACACATCACATGAAAAAAAATTTATTTCCAGGTGACTATTTGAAAAGTCGTCTGGAATGTTTTGAAAACATTCCAGACCTTATGTTCCCTTTTCAGTTGCCTATATATTTTCATCTGTTTGTGTCCAGTTTCTTCATTTTAAAATTCTTGGAATCTATCTTAATATTATTTTTGAAATATATATCAATACATGAACAGCGGGGCATCTGGGTATCATTCATTTGAATACAAGTAGTAATGATAGTATTAATACTATTTGTTATTTAAATCATACTTACGTAATTTTAATAACATTCTTATACATATTTGTATTAAAATATAAGCCTTCATTATTTAATTGTTCAACATTTTAATCCCCTATTCCAATAATAATAACAATATCATTAGAATGTACATAGTATCATCATTTTCAACCTTTAATCTTTATATCTAGCTAGTACTTTTAATATATTATATAAAAATATGCATAATACTATTCCCCCTATTTCTTGTGTTTGCTTCTATTCTAGTTCCTAGTAAAGCCAATATTGTGTTACACAACATTTCCTCTATCTATCATCTCTTACCCATTTTAAAATTTTGATTCTTATTCATTTTTGGATCTGCCTCCCAAATTCATCCCTTGGGTCTTCTTCTCTATCTACATCTTTCCTGTTTAATTTAAGTGTTTCTTCCATCTCTACTATCTTTTGCTGCCAAACCTCCAGAGGATCTGCCCAACTGTCCATTTTCTTTTCAAAGATATCTTTCTGGTTATCTAGTATCATTTTTTGGTCTTTTAACATGTATTTTCCCAGAATTGCTTCATAAGTTTTTATTACCTTCTCCCTCTTATCTTCTTCTTCTTCTTCTTTTTGTTTGTTTGTTTATTTAGTTCTGTCTTTTCTCCTGGTCTCTCATTGTCTCCTCTATTTCCTGGGCTTTTTGATCGTTATTCATTATCCCTTGTGGAGCACTTTCTAACATCCTATTTATGTTATTCATTAAGTCCATTATCTCCCTGTGGTTCCTTGTCATAGTATCCTGGAAGCTTTGAAACATTGCCACCAATTCTTTTTGCAACCCACTTATATCTTGCCTTCTTTTTTGATAAATCCAAATATCACTCAATAATCTGTCAGATTATCTGTCAGATTGTCATCTGTCAGATTATCAGTGATAATCTATCACTGCCCCAGTGTCTAAATTATTTTTGCCCTCAGAAAGTTGATCTGGAAACCACTCAATCCTGGTGTTGCTCCTCTGGAAATACAGGGATATGGTTCTTTATGTTCCACAGTTAGTCAATTTAACTCTTTTTAGGCAATCCAAGAAAATTTCTAAATGTCTCCTTAAGTCCCTGCTATAAATTCAATCATAACTCCTGATATTTAAAAGCCACTTTACTTAGATGTCTTCCGTATTTTCAATGTTAGAGCGCCAATAGTCATGGAATAAATAAGTATAAAGCAATGGATAGCATCCCCCAGGTGTTATTTCCACTTTCTCCTCTGTTTTATTAGTATTTTTCTCAAGGTTGTAAGGATGAAATGTGTTCCATTCAATAGTAGATGGCACCTTCAGATTAACTTCAACATTGCATAGGTTCTAACAAATTCCGTTTGTATAAATTCTGACAAGTAATTCCAGCATTTTAAAATGCTGCTAATAAAAATTAAAAATCCAATCTTTCTGTGTTTTTAAAGGTTCTGCATTCTCTTCTTAATACCCTTTTCTTTTCTTTTGGGTCTATGAATTTTGTCTCTGCAATTGGTCACCACTTAAACAAACTCTTCAAAGAGTTCCTTTTCCAGAATTTATTTTTTGGGGGTAGGTTTTAAAAAGAAAAAAAATCACACAGTTCCAGTCACTGTTCACACAATGCTCCAGCAGGTCTTTGTTTCTTCATCTGCCCCAGATTCACAGTAACCACAATGGCTGCCACTCCTCTGTATTGTCGGCTGAGAGGGAATTAGTCCTGGATCAAGCAGGAAAGCTGATGCTCTCCACAATCTGCAGGGTGCCCTTCCACTCTTCGTCACCTCTACAAGGTGACTTCAGTCCCTGATGGTGCCGTCCAATGAAGGGATTTGGCATGAGTTCATAGAGCCCCGCTTTTCTTGTCCGATAGCGCTATGACGTCAACCAGAAGTCAAATTATTTATTTGTTTGTTTACTTAACTTGTTTGCCACCAATCTCACCACAAGGTGATTCTGGGAAGTTTACAACATTAAAATGTAACCATAAATATATGAATAAATAACAATAATCACATTAAAATTATAATAAAACATCAATTATAACTGACAATGGGGACAAGAAAGAAGAATATACAGAGGTCTGTGGACCCAAAGCCAACTGGTAGAACCAGGTCTTCAGGTTCATGTAGGAGGTGGGAACACTTGGGTTTTTTTTTATTTTATTATTGTTTTATTGTTATTTTATTTATATAATATTTTTTATTATCTTTATTTTAATTATGCTGTATTTCAAGGAATCTGATATTCAGGTATGACCTCATATGACATTAGGAAAAATTGCAGCATTCATGACATAATGCTTATGTCATCTCTATGCTTTCCTTTGTGGGCAGGTACAACCAGTTTCTCTCTGCAATGAGAACTGCCATCTGGGTTACCACAGAAGAAAAAAAGAGGGGAAGCCATTTTGCTGCTATGATTGTGTCCCATGTGCAGATGGAAAAATTTCAGATCAGATGGGTAGGATAAGATATAATACCAATAGCTTACAACTTAACCATCCCTTAAAGAGATACCCCTTAATGGCATTGTATATTTATTAATATGAATCCATGTTAATTGGAGAAATGGGCAAGATAGAAAAAGTTTGTGTGTCTCTACATGAATAGCTTTGAAAAAAAGAAAATCTATCCCATTTATCAAAGCTAAAAAAATCAATATATAGCATATGTTTTATTACGTGAAAGTGGGTATGAATAATTAACACAATATGGCCTGGGATGACCACTAGTTTAAAAAATCAGATATGAAACATGATACTCCCAACTTGATCTTTCCCCAAAGTTCTAAATCAGCATTTGCAGTCAGAAAACTATTCCTTCCTTTCCTCCTTTCCTCCCTCCCTCCCTCTCTCACTCCTTTTCTTTCTTCCAAAGATGAAGTATAGATTAAATCACACAGAAATTCAGTCAGTTAAATTAATACACCTAAATTATACTTAAGAATAGCTTACTATTCTTTCTGTTAATAACAGCATCATTAGGTAATCATTTACAAAAATTTCACTGTCTCCAAATGACACAAACAATCAAACAAATTACAATGAAACCAATAAAATAATAATAATAATAATAATAATAATAATAATAATAATAATAATAATTTCATTTCTATACTGCCCTTCTCCCGAAGGACTCAGGGCAGTGTACAGCCTATTAAAAGCACAAAGACAAACAACAATTAAAATAATTTAAAATTATTAAATAATTTCGGCTCAATATTAAGACCCCCCAAAATTTAAAACATCCAATTTAAAATCATTACATTGATAGCCCAGCCTGGCGGAACAGCAGGGTCTTAAGGGCACAGCTAAAAACCCTGAGGTCGCAGATCTTACGCATTTCCGGGGGCAGTTCATTCCACAGGGCTGGGGCTCCCACAGAGAAGGCCCTCTCCCTGGGTGTTGCCAGCTGACATAACTTGGCCAATGGCACCCTGAGGAGACCCTCTCTATGGGAGCGAACTGGCCGGTGGGAGGCTACTGGTGGCAGAAATCGGTCTCAAAGGTACCTGGGTCCTATGCCATGGAGCGCTTTAAAGATGGTAACCAACACCTTGAATCGCACCTGGAAGACCACTGGGAGCCAGTGCAGCTCATGCAGGAGGAGTGTCACATGGGCACAACGGGTTGCGCCCATAACCACCCGCGTGGCTGCATTCTGGACCAGTTGGAGCCTCCGAGTGCTCTTCAAGGGGAGCCCCATGTAGAGAGCATTACAATAGTCCAGCCGGGAGGTGACAAGGACATGAGTGGCCATGCGCAAGGCATCCCGGTCCAGGAAGGGCTGCAACTGGCAAATCAGGTGAACCTGATAAAAAGCCCCCCTGGCCACAGCCGTCATATGTTCTTCAAAAGACAGCCATGCATCCAGGAGGACACCCAGATTATGAGCCCTCTCTGTGGGGGACAGCGATTCATCCCCAATAGTCAGCGATGGCACCAGCTGACTATATTGGGACGCCGGAAGCCACAGCCACTCGGTCTTGGAAGGGTTGAGTCTGAGCCTATTTCTCCCCATCCAGACCACGGATCCCCATCGCATGGCCTCCAGGCAGCGAGACATCACATAAAGGGCATCATTGGGGTGGTCTGGGGTGGAGATGTACAGCTGAGTGTCATCTGCGTACTGGTGGACTATCACCCCAAAACCACGGATGATCTCACCCAGTGGCTTCACATAGATATTGAACAGAAGGGGCGAGAGGAGCGACCCCTGCGGCACTCCCCATGCAAGGCACCTCGAGGTCGACCTCTGCTCCCCTGCCAACACAAACTGAGAGTGGTCGGAGAGGAAGGAGGAGAACCACCGCAAAACGGTGCCCCTATTCCTAACCCCCTCAACCCCTGCAGCATGATACCATGGTCGATGGTATCAAAAGCTGCTGAGAGATCTAATAGGACCAGGACAGAGGAGCAATCCCTGTCCCGAGCCTCCAGAGATCATCCACCAACGCAACCAATGCCATTTCTGTGCTGTACCCCTGCCTGAAGCCCGACTATCTATCTGGACTGGTATGTGTCACCCAGGTATAGCTGGTAAAGCTTCATCCAGGTGCCGGGGAAGCTGTTGTGCCACCATGCTCTCAACAACCTTCACCACAAAACGAAGGTTGAAAACCGGACGGTAGTTAGCTAATTCAGCCAGGCCCAGGGAAGCCTTCTTGAGGAGGGGCCTCACCACTGCCTCTTTCAAGGTGGCAGGAAAGGCACCCTCACTCAGAGAAGCATTTATAATCCCCTGGAGCCAACCTCGTGTAACCTCCCGGGAGGCCAGTACCAACCAGGAGGAACACGGGTCCAATAAACACATGGCATCACTAATCTTACCCCGAACCCTGTCCACATCCTTGGGAGCCACAGGATCAAACTTCTCCCAGATAATATTCTCAAGACCTACCCTCGTCTCCTCCCCTGGACTCATCCAATTGGAGTCCAAGCCTTCCCAAATCTGAGCAACTTTATCATGCAGGAATTGCACAAAATCCTCAGCTCAATCCTGTAAGGGGTCTTCCCATACTCCCCCCCAAAGAAGGGAGTGGGTCACCCTAAACAGAGCGGCTGGGCGGTTCTCTGCAGATGCGATAAGAGCAGAAAAATGGTTAGATTTCACTGCTTTTATTGCCCCTAGGTAGGTCTTGATATAAGACCTCACCAGTGTCCGGTCGGAATCGGATTGACTAGTCCTCCAAATGCTCTCTAGGCATAGGACCTGGGTATTTGCGGGACCGCCTTCTGCCGCCGATAGCCTCCCACCGACCAGTACGCTCCCACAGAGAGGGACTCCTCAGGGTGCCGTCGGCCAGGCAATGTCGGCTGGCGACCCTCAGGGGGAGGGCCTTCTCTGTGGCAGCTCCCGCCCTCTGGAATGATTTGCCCCCGGAGATAAGAAGGATATCGGATCTCCGGGTCTTTCGCCGTGCCCTGAAAACTCTTCTTTTCCAGCAAGCAGGGCTGGCGTGAACCCCGCCCCCTTTTTTAGTTTTTAATGGTTATTAATTGTTTAGTTTTAATCTGTTAATGGGTTTTAATTCGCATTGTTTTAATTCGGGCCAAAGTATATAATTCTTTTAATTAATTTTAAATTTTGTATTGTTATGTATTTTAGTTTTGGCTGTGCACTGCCCTGAGTCCACTAGGAGAAGGGCGGTATATAAATTGAATAAATAATAATAATAATAATCTTTTCTGATACTTCATCTCTCTCAGCTCCTCAGAGAACCAAGGAGCCAATTGAGCTCGGCATCGGGTCAGAAGCCGCAAAGGCACGATGTGATCCAAAGCTCCAGTGGCCACACTCTCCCAGGTGGCCACCAGCTCTTCAGTCGAGTTGTGTGCCAGGGTCTCAGGAAATGACCCAAGCTCTGTCAGGAACCTTTCAGGATCCATCAGGTGCCTACCATCTGATCAGAACCATCTGATCAGTGAAGGAGCGAGTGATCTGTCTGTGACAAGGGTTTGATATCTAGGTCCCCTCTACCAAGGTCATTCTGATCATTCTGATCCACTGACCAGAGACAAAAATCAAGTCCAGAGTGTGTCTCCCTATGTGAGTGGGTCCTTGAACTAACTGGGTCAAGTCCATGGCCACCATGGAAGCCATGAACTCCTGAGCCTCCTCTGACGCCTCACCTGTGGATGGTAGGTTGAAATCCCCCATGACAATAAATCTGGGGGTATCAACCGCCACCCCAGCAATAACATCGAGCAGCTCGGGCAGGGTTGCCGCTATGTGGCAGGGAGCCAGATACATAGTCAGCTGACCCATCTGCACCCCACGGCCCCACTTCACAAAAAGGGACTCACATCTGGCTATCTGAGGAACAGTTGTCTCCCTTGGACAAAGACTTTCCCTAATAATCGCCGCCACTCCTCCACCCCTCCCCTGGGCCCTTGGCTGATGAAATGCATGGAAACCTGGTGGGCACATTTCAATGAGGGGGACCCTCCCCTCTTGGCCCAACCAGGTCTCCGTAATACCTGCCAGGTCCGCACCCCCCCTCCATAATAAGATCACAAATGAGGGGGGCTTTATTAACAACCGACCTGGCATTACACAACATCAGCCGCAGACCCTGGGCCAGAGACTCTGCGCAACCCAGGACACGAGTCCCGCATTGGGGGATGGAGTGCGCAATTGCTTGTAAACAGCGTGTGCGCACCCCCGACACATGATATGGCCCCCTGCGCCTGTCTCACTCATTATTTCAATTACACTGCCCTTCCTGTCGCCCCCCTGCTCCTCAATTAAATTTCCTTCCATGACCCCTCTGCTGCAGCCAATCAACCCATCACCCCGCTCAGTGGCTATCTGGACCCCCCCCCCCAGATCTACCTTTACAACCCCCTCCCTTCCTCCTGGGTCCCCTTAAAATTTTCATTAAAAATTTAGGTAAAAAAACCCTCAACCCCCTCTTCGCTACATGCCATTGGATAAAAATGCCAAGTGTGATAATGTGAGAAGCTGTAATCACCTTCACTTAAGATTTGGGTGAAATGCCATGACCTCATGGCTCTTCTAAACAATAGCAGAGCGGGGCTGTCCAATCTCAAGTGGGATTCCATTACAGTGGTTAGATGCTGCTTCCAGGATCCTAATAGACCTTGGAATTATTTATTAAAAAACCCCAGAGTATGCCAATCCTGTAAAATTGGCTGGCCAGATGTTATGGGAGAAAATGCCCTCAAATAATCAGCCCCATATGCTATATAGGGCTGTATCAATTTAAAAAAAAAAACTTTGAATTACATGATAGCTACTCCAGCCCATGAAGCAGAAGTGTTATATGGACAAGACCATTACTATTTGCACCATTTCATTCTGGACCAATGGAAGTTTCCAGGTGATCTTCAAAGCACTCCCATGTACAGCACCTTGCACACTTAAGCCACAAGGTCACTAGGACATAAGTATCTGAAGGGCACCCAATCTAGGAAAGAGGCCAATTTCCATATCAGATGAAGTTGTGCAAAGATCTTCCTGGTCACCGCTGACAACTACCCATCCAAGAAGACTCCCAGATTATTTATCAGCCTTGAGGAGGAAAGTGGAAAGAGAAAAATGCCATGCCACCCAATCCCAAAAATAGAATATTCCCAGCCACTCAGTCTTGTTATGACTGAGTTAGAAATTAGTTTCATATTGTTTTTTCTGATATCTTGTGAGAAATTTGGGCTCACATCCAATTCAGAAATGCCCCCACACACTTTATTTTACATTAAGGTTTAGGACAATTTAAAAAATAAAAATTGGTTAAACTTGCTTACTCAAGCATATATTTCATGGCAATAGTAGGGCAATATATGTCTTTCGCTAGAAATTAACACAATATGTATTCTATCTTTCAGATGCAGATGATTGTTTCCAATGCCCAGAAGATCATTATTCAAACAAAAACAAAGATCAATGCCTTCCTAAAAGAATGAACTTCCTCTCTTTCACTGAACCTTTGGGGATCACATTACTTTCTTTGGCTGTGATGTTATCTGTAATCACAGTTTGGGTCTTTTGGATATTCACAATGCATCAGAACACTCCCATTGTCAAAGCCAACAATCGGGATCTAACCTACTATCTACTTATATCCCTCCTGCTGTGTTTCCACTCCACATTCCTGTTCATTGGAAAACCACACACCCTGACCTGCTACTTGAGACAAACCACTTTTTCCATCATTTTTTCAGTAGCTATTTCTTGCATATTGGCCAAAACTGTCACTGTGGTACTTGCTTTCATGGCCACAAAGCCAGGATCCAAATTGAAAAAATGGATAGGAAAAAAACTGGCCAACTTCATTCTTCTTGGCTGCTCCCTGATTCAAGTTGGGATTTGTGTTGTATGGTTATGGACATTTCCTCCTTTCCTAAATTTTGACTTTCATGCTCTGGCTGAAGAAATTGTGGTGGAATGTAAAGAAGGATCAGATGTTATGTTTTATTGTGTTCTGGGTTACTTGAGTTTTCTAGCCATTGTTAGCTTCACTGTGGCTTATTTTGCTAAGAAACTGCCTGATATTTTCAATGAAGCTAAATTTATCACCTTCAGCATGTTGGTATTTTGCAGTGTGTGGTTTTCTTTTATTCCCTCTTACTTGAGCACCAAGGGAAAATACATGGTGGCTGTGGAGGTCTTTTCCATCTTGGCTTCTAGTGCTGGATTATTGGGCTGTATTTTTTTCCCTAAATGCTATATAATTCTGTTTCAGCCTGTATTAAACAGCAAGGATCTGCTCATTAGAAAGAAATAGCATTCATGTATTAGCTGACATTTACTTTTTTATTATTTAACAACATATTTTCATTCAAAATTCTATAGAAAGAGCTATGTATCATATGTCCTTTTCATTTTGTTGATTATATTTAGCATGGGTTTCTTTCTACTAATTGAATTAATTAATTGAAAATACTTCTGATGTAGTTTTAAACATTGGGGTTGATTCATATCTTTGCCAGAAGTGTTATCAATTTTTTGTTGGATAATGAACTTTTAAATTTTTCAATTATGTTAAAAGTATCTTGTTCTAAAAAAACTTTCTAAAATAATAATAATTGATTGTCAGTTACAAAATAAAATAAGGTCTCACTGGTTGGATCTGCACATATACTACACCAATGAGGCATCCTAGATTCCTGGAAAAAATTCAATGTGAATAAAGACCAATACCAAACCAAGCTGTGATTTTATGTGCTGTTCATATTATAATAATAAATTCATAATAAATGTATGACCCCATTCAATCAATGGATCAAAGGCCTGTATACTTGCCATTGATGATCAGATTGCCTATAAACTGTATGAAAACATTGTATGGACAACTATTTTAAAATATGGGACTCATTTATTCTGCAAAATACAATAGATGAGAAAAAAGCATGATAGTTACACACACAAACACCCAGAGAGATATGTTTGCATAATATTTGCATTAGGTATATGTAGAATTGAAACTGTTTACTGTTATATTATACTTTTCTTTTATTTTTTTCTGTTGTATTTTTGAACATTTTAAAGCAGTTGTTATGCTTTTTTTCTTTGATAATGTATGTAAGTTTTCAATATTCAATAATAAAATTTTATTATTATTAAAATTTTATTATTTATTAAAAATAATTATTTTGTGCTTTGTTTCCTTTTTCTGTTATTTAAAAGCAAAAAATAAATAAATTTTAAATTTTGGAAGGAGATAATTATTGAGGATAAAAATAAGTTGAATCTGTTTTAATGAAAGGGTAGAGATGTCAGCTTGTCTTCCCAAATATATTTATTTAGGCTGCTTGAAGGTGCAAGAATAAAGCCTATATCCCTGCCCACAAATATATAAATTGCCATGAAAAAACCTTTTTGCTTCATAAGAGAAAACAGTAGAGTGAATTTGCATAGACATTTTCGAGTTTGTGACATATCCCAATTACATGTCTTGCCAATATAATAGTCCCTAGAAGAAAAGGCTTGCCTTTTGGCTTGACCGTATCAGTAAAATTGGGGAGAGGAAATTCTAATATGTATGGTATATAAATATTAAAATTAAGATTCCTTTATCTTTATTAAGGAAGAAGGGTATATCCATTATATTCCAAGAAAGAAGAGCTTCCAGGATCCAATTTATGGCCTATCACAGTGATGGCGAATCTTTTTGGCACTGAATGCCCAAACCAGAATGTGCATGTGCACGCTGGGATTTGGAAACCCAAAGACCAGGTGGCCAGTGCACATGCGCACACTGGCCACTTAGTCTTTGGGTTTGGTCTTTGCATGCACCAGAGCACTGGAAACCAGAAAAGGAGCTGGCAACAGTGTAAGTGACAACAGAGAAGGCTCTGTATGCCACCTCTGGCACGTGTGCCATAGGTTCGTCATCACTGGTCTATCATAAACTGTTAAGCAAAACCAAAGAAACTAAGTTGGGGTTTAGCATGTTCTGTAATTTCAACCTTGTTTTAAGAGCACTTCTCTGAAATCATATTTTTGAGAACTTGGTGTGTATTTGCCAGAGCACTCTCCTGGTACCTATCTATTTTTTAATATCAAAAAATATTTATGTGACATTTCATGTGAAAAATGCCATGTGACATTTCATGATAATATTTTTATGTGACGTTTATGTGAAAAATGCCATGTGACATTTCATGATAATATCACTAAACAGAAGCATGTAGGGCTTGCAGGTGTGGCCCAGTGATCAAAGATGTTCAATGCTTGGGGAGCATTATTTCAGATATTTCAAGTAACTTTCCCTGCTACTGAGGCCCTTTCTGAAAATGGGCAAATTGAGACTTTTAAGTCCTTCTTTCTCCAATGCTCACTATATAAAAATGGATGGGATATTTTTATCTTCCTGATACTGTCAAGATCAACAGTGTTATCAGGAATATTTGCCAATGCTATTAGAAGAGTATACCTCCTCAAACACATGCAGCTTTCAATTCTGAAGCTGACCTGACCTAAGCCATCTTGACATCTTCAGTGTTGCCACACTGGAGCTGAGGGATAGGGAGGGGGGATTTTAGATAGCTGGGATTTTGTAGCCAAAACAAAATACTTTCTCTTGGGAACCAAGGACATTCTCACACCCGGTTGGTGGAAGGTAGAGTGATATCACCAGGCAACCAGACAGCACTGTGATTGGACAATGTGATTCATTGTTTTGAGAAAGTGACAATTTTTTACTTTTAATTAGGTGAAAACTATGGGAACCTTCAGAAACAGTTTTCACTGGATCTGTATCAATACGATATATCCTATAAAGCTAGATTCCTGAGGAATCTACCTGCCTCAGAGTTCTATAGAGACCCATAACACTCTAGGAACCAGAGTGCTATGGGTCTATTACTTGGAACCCTGACATTAAACTGACTCCCATAAATTCCAAACTCCAACCAGAGCTGCTATCAGGGGTCCTGAGCCCCAACTGGTTACCCTGTCTTCTTGGGCAGCAGGAAGACTCAGGGGAAATGGAAGAAAAAATTGGAGAAGTCGCGGGTGTGTACAGAGCTTGTGGAGGGACCCTGGAAATCCTGCCAACTCTCTCAGAGGTTCAATGAGTGGAGAAGGCAGTGGCAGAGATCACACATTAGGTGGGCACCCAGCCTAAAGTCCGCAACAAATGGCCGACCACTCAGGAGCTCTACCAGGCAGAGGAGGACATTGGCCACCAGTCTGGATTCCAGATGCCAGTGGGAGAGTGCCCAATCACCTCAACCAGGGAGGCAAGAACTACAATCCTAGAATGGAGGTCGATGGGTTCCCTGAACCTTATTGAATCCGGGATTGGAAGTATCAGATCACAGCCCATTGCCAAACCCTAGGATAACTGCCAGAAAGGCTCAGCCAGTTGTCAAGTACCCACCTAAACCCAAGCCTGTCAGGTTTCCCAGTGATGAAATCCATTCAAAAAAGAAATATGCAAAGTCCATCTTCCAAAACAAATTTCTTTTATTTAGGTAGGTATCAAATTGGCAAAGTCTGTTGTAATTCCGGATCTGACACAAACCAGATCACATAATATTGTAAATTAGAAACATCCCACAAAAGTCACATTTGCCAATGAAAGTATATTCAATATTGCCTGGTGTCTTAAAATTCCACCTCCAGCAAGAACAGCCCCTGTTCCCATGGGAAAGAATGTCCTCCCTGTTTTGAATTGTGGCTTTTCTGAAGTACGTGAAGGCAAAAGGTTTTGGGAACATATAACTTGGACCCTTTCCATGCTATGCCATCCCTGCCTGTTAACAGGGTTTTATTTTCCAGATACCAAATGTCTGTGGTCAACTCGTTCTGTAACTTTGTGGTTATTTTTGATTTGTCTTTGATGCCCTAGTAATCACCTGAGCCGCCTTCTGGGGGGAAGGTGGAATTATTGGGTGAATTACTTTTTCTCGTTTGCTATTAAATTGGAGCTTCCATGACAGTGCTTCTGCTAATAGTTTTTTTTTTCCCCTGGGAGGTTCTTTAATTGTAAATTGAATCTTTTGAAGTATTGCAGCCATCTAACTTGTTTTGGGGAGAATATCCTTGGAGTTTTTAGGGCTTTCAAATTTTTGTGATCACTCCACACTTTGAAAGAGTTATTGCTGCCCTATACAAACTGTCTCCAAGTTAGTAGAGCCCAACGGACTGCATAAGCCATCTACTGCCATCTACTGGTTGGAGAATACTGCTGTAGTTGTTGTACAGTACACTGTATTCCAACAATTATTCATTTTATTTTTCTCAAGGTCTATCCAACTATTGACTTGCTTGATAACAGCAGTCAATCTATCCATTTTTAAATCTAGAACTTTCTCCCATTCTTCCAATCGCAAACCCATCATTTGTGCTGGAAAGTGTTCCAAAAAAGATACATTTTTTTTTCGTTTTTGTTTTTGAGCCATATTTCAATGCCAATGGCAGTAGCTCCCTCTATTGATCGAAAAGTAATTTATGCTAGATTGTCAGAAAAAGGAAATAAATTAAAACAAAAGGTATTGAATCACTAATTTCCTGAGCTCCAATCCAATCCATAAAGAGATAGATAAGCAAAAAAAACATGGGAAAGTAGGCAAAAAGAAAAAAAATGCCAAGATCCATAAAAACAAATACTGTAAAAAAATGTAGATATGTAGACAAATATGTATTAAAAATCATATAGTTTATCTCCCAGCAACAAAGAAAACCTTAAAAGTCCACTTTTGTTTTCTTTGCTTTAAAAGTCCAATCTTTCTTCTAAAGCAATTCTAATAAAAATAAGAACTCTAGAAAGGAAATCACTAAGACAGTGAAAATATGTTATCAGAAAATACTCTCTCTTATATAACAAACAAACAAACAAAAAACATTGTGGTACAATTGTTTCTCACCACTAAATTGTATCTTGTTGGATAGAGCCAAGGTTTCAAATCTGTCAAGGTCCTTCTGAATCTTGAGTCTATTATATAAATTGTTAGCTATCCCCCCTTGCAAAGTTGATGAGTTCTCCTTCTATCTTTTCATTTAGATGATTGATGAAATGTTGAAGAATACTGGGCCTAAGAGAAAGCATCAAGATACCCCACTGAATGCTTCTTCCATGTAGGTGTAGTTCCAACCATTGAATGTGGTTGGTCATCTAGTTACAAATCCATCTGGTGCAGGGGTGGATTCTTTTTACCTTTACTACTGGTTTGCAGCAGGGCCCCGTGTGCGTGCTTGCTTCGCTCGCGCGCGCGCGCACTCTTCTGTGCATGCGCAGAAGCATTTTGATGACATCAGGGTCAGTGGGTGGAACCTCCACCAGTTTTACTACCAGTTCTATAGAAACGGTGCAAACTGGGGGCAACCCACCACTTATCTGGTGATGGTACTATCTATCCTACCTGCATGATTCAATAGGTAAAAAATTGTGGCTATAATATAATTATTAGCCTATGGGAAAATATATGAATGTTTGGACTGAGTTTTATATTCAATTATAATCTGAAATAAAATTTATATAAGATGATGTATCATTGGACTGAAAAATTGTCAAAGATCTATAAAGACGTTTCAAATATATTCTG